ATCTATCAAAATCACAACTTATTCACATTTATATACTCATGTACATACTAAAACAAAATCAGTAAGTGGAAATGAAAACCAAATAGTAAGCATACATCTTTGTATTTGCTTTCCCAAATACAAATTGAAAGAGGAAAAATACGAAAGATGGACTTAATTTTTAGAATAAGGAGTATGGTTTTCATGTGGCTTTGTTTTTTTTTTTAATGTCTACTGGGAAAATGCACTCAACTGTGCTAAGAATTAGTCATTCTGGTTGTATAAAAGCATGGAAAATTATCACATATTAATTTCTACCAACCTCGTTTATGTTAAACCATGTAAAGTACATTTTTTAAATTATGAAGCTGATTTGATTTACTAAGAGTTTAGATCAGTAATGTATGAGCTGAATTGAAAACCAGATTATAAATCATTTCAGTATGACATTTGGATAAAATATAAAGATCATCTGCATTTATTTATGATGTTCTGTCAGGGAAATTCATGAGACTTAACTTTCTCATGACAACTCTCATAATCATCATTTCTGACCAAATTATAAATACTGTATTTACACGTGAAAAAAATTGGCTTAATATTTGATATACTATTTCAATGTCTAATTGAAACCAAGGAGGGCAAAAAGATATTACTATTATTTTCTAAATGGAGTAGTTTCTTTTCAAATATTGTATAACACAGGAAATGGCAAAACTATGTATATTGCAGAGCAGTTGCTCACAAGTCCAGATGCACGCTACCATTACCTGGGGAACTGTGTGAAAAATTCTGAAGTCTGAATCTCAATCTGGGCACATCAGATCTGAGCCAGAGAGTGGGACCAGGTGTCAGCATTTGTTCGAAACTCCCCCAGCTGATCTTGATAGCCAGTCAGAGCTGAGAATTACGTGAAAAGGCGTGGCCTCCAGTGCACAGAGGTGAAGGAAATGCTCTTGAGAGACCCAGAGCATAAGCTGGTGATGTGATCTGACCCCTCTGTCAAGATTCTGCAAGCACTGCCGAAGCGGAGGGCGAAAGTTGCTCAAAATTAAGAAGAGACCCAGCTCAGTAGTGAAGATTTATAAGCTGTTCTTCCAGCTGATTTTGTCTTGTTACCAAGGCTGAAAGTAGATCAAGATTATTGTTGCTGTTGGGTGCTACCTGTGACAGAAGCAGTGGTAGGAAGTAGAGAGAAGAAACTCATGTAAGCGGGAGTCTGTGTGTTTGTTCATTTTCTAAGTTTGTGACTCTTAAGTATGAGAGTCTGAGCAGTGATGACACTGTGATGTCCCCTGGGAGAGCTAAAACTAAACCAGAAAGGATGGGAAGGGGCGTAATCTGTGGACCTAGAAAGCAGTTAATGAGATAGGAGTCGCTCTAGTCTCTATTTTAAAGTCAACAAATAAGAGAACTCAGCTGAGAAACAGATGATGATTCACTGTTTTTCTGTATAAAAACTTCTGGGCCATTTTCAGTGCACGTTCAATGCATGAAGCTGGGCACTCAAAGCCAGTGCCCTGGGACGACCCAGAGGGATGGGGTAGGGAGGGCCTTGGGAGGGGGGTTCAGGATGGGGGGGTACATTGCACCCATGGCTGATGCGTGTGGATGTGTGGCAGGGGCCACCACAGTGTGGTGAAGTGATAGTCCTCCAATTAAAATAAGTATTTTAATCAAAAAAAACTTTGGAGGCATTTTCATGCTATTTACATGGCATTTTGTGGTTTTAAACTATATGTTTATTGCATGCATAGTACTATAGGTGTTTAAACTTTGTGGTGGCATCTCTAGAACAGGAAACTTGTGTCTAAATATTGGCTGTAATCTTAATGGAACTGTTCATTAAATATACTGCATTTTAAAGTAGTATAAATACATTATAGCATCAACATATTATAAAGAGATAATACATTGTGACCTCTGTTCCCTCCTGTCTTTAATTTCCCTCCTGCATAATTGCTTCATAAACTGAATGCTGACTAATTTTAGAAAGACATTGGTATTTTCAGAGAAGATACTTTATTGGAGTGTCTTTTGGGATGTTGTTTTTCAGTTGCTCAATTATGTCCAACTCTTTGCAACTCCATGGACTGAAGCATGCCAGGCTTCCCTGTCCTTCACTATCTCCTGGAGTTTGCCCAGACTCATGTCCATGGAGTCCATGATGCCATCCAACCATCTCATCCTCTGTCGTCCCATTCTCCTCCTGCCCTCAGTCTTTCCCAGCATTCAGGTCTCTTCTAATGAGTCAGCTCTTTGCATCAGGTGGCCGAAATACTGGCGCTTCAGCATCAATGTGTTTATGTGTGTGTGTTAGTTGCTCAGTGGTGTCTGACTCTTTGCGACCCCATGGACTGTAGCTCACCAGGCTCCACTGTCCATGGAATTCTCCAGACAAGAATATAGGAGTGAGTTGCTATTACGTTCTCCAGGAGATCTTCCCAACCCAGGGATCAAACCCAGCTCTCCCACATTGCAGGTAGATTCTTTACCATCTGAGCCACAAGGGGGAGCCCTCAGCATCAGTCTCTCTAATGAATATTCAAGGTTGATTTCCTTTGGGATTGACTGGTTTCGTCTCCTTGCTATTCAAGGGAATCTCAAGAGTCTTCTCCAGCACCACAGTTCGAAAACCTCAATTCTTCAGTGCTCAGCCTTCTTTATGGTCCAGCTTTCATATCAGTACATCAGTTCAGTTCACTCAGTCGTTCGTGTCCAACTCTTTGCTGGATCATTGAAAAAGCAAGAGTTCCAGAAAAAACATCTATTTCTGCTTTATTGACTACGCCAAAGCCTTTGACTGTGTGCATCACAATAAACTGTGGAAAATTCTGAAAGAGATGGGAATACNTTTTGTACAGTTCTTCTGTGTGTTCTTGCCACCACAACTTCGAGTTCATGAACCCACCATTTATCTTCTATTTTTGACATTAATTAAAAAAAAATAGAAGTTTTAGTAAAAAGTCAAACATTTCTATCATAATGAAAATTAAAATTTCTTGTTTGTTATGCTTTCACTTTCTTTCAATTACATGGGCATAATGTAGCCATAGTAACAACTTTCTTTGTTAGACTTGACCCACACAATGCTACAGTATAATTGTCTTTCTCTCCTTCTCTCCCCCTTGTCCCTTTGCTTTATTAACTTGAATAGAGGAACCTTATGCTTCCATTCTTGATCAAGGTTTAGGCTGCAGCAATATCTCTTTTCCATTCCAAGTTGTTGTTTAGTCGCTAAGTCATCTCTGACTCTTTTGCAATGCTATGGACTGTAGCCCACCAGGTTCCTCCGACCAGGGAATTTCCCAGGCCAGAATAGTGGAGTGGGTTGCCATTTCCTCCTCCAGGAGATCTTCCCCAACCCAGGGTTGAGCCCATGTCTCCTGCATTAGCTGGCAGACTGTTACTGAGCCACCTGGGGAGCCCATTCCAAGCAGCCATTGCTAATCAAGCCGAGCCTTGTTTTTCCAGACTTATCCTTAGTCGTCTTCCTCTGTCTCACGCTCTTGGCAGGCACTACCAGGAGGTGGGAATTGACATTACTGTTCTGCAAGAAACTTGGCCAAAAAAAGATGAGCCATATAGCATAGCAGTGGTGTTCCAGATCATGAAAAACACCTGGGGTAGTCAGGGCCTCACTTGGACCTATGAACTCAGTCTCCAGAGAAGGGGCTAAGAAACTTCAGTTTAGCTATGTCAGAGGGTTGGTTTGTCCTGAACTTCACGGTAGAGAATGAACAAATGTGTAAAATGTATATACAAATATCTTTCCACACGCTTTAAATTCTCTCTTACCCAGGAGACTTACTGCAAATAATTTCACTTTCCGATACTACATAAGATTATGTAGTAATATGTACTACATACTTATGTAGTAAGTATTCTGAGTTTGCCCAGGAAGCTTTATCTAGGGGTTAAGATGATAGGTGCCTAATGATTTAGAGTATGGCACCTATCAATGAATGAAATTTGGTACTAAAATTAAGTTTAAAAACCCAAGTTCCATGTCTTTATCCAATCAAATTGATGCAAATGTATTTATCTGCCTTTGGAATTAAGTTCAAGTGGAATGGACCTGTCACATTGCAATTGAAGTGTGTGGAAATAGGCAGCAAAAGGAATCTTAATATGCTGCATGTTATTCTCCCTCAAAACCAGTTACTTGAAATCACAGTTAATATGGGATCCCAGCCATAAAGCAAAGAAGTTATTTTAACAAAATAAGAAAAAAGTCACTGGGAATATCACTTTTTTTTTTTACGTTTTAGAAGTATTATGTGTAATATTTTATTTTTGGCTTCCTGGCTATTCATGTCTTTGTTTCAAAGTGCCTTCTGAAGTTTTTTCTATACTAAGATAATCCAGTTTTTCAAAGTCCTTTTTCTTTGTTGAAAATATCACAGTTCCACTAACTGTAAACCATAGGGCAGTTTGTTTAAAATGTAGGCATTATTAGTATGTTAATTATATACAGCTGCTTCCCACAGTCATCATCTTCCAGCTTCAACAAAGTGTGCCTTAAATGTTAAGGACCATATTGTAGGTCCTTCTATTCTTAGTGTCTCAATACTTGAAACATTTTAGAAAGTGCTCTGGTAATGTTGCTTGCATTGCTAGTAAATGATCAGAACAAAGGTGCACATTCTTTGCCAAGCATTACATAATGCAGTTAAACTTGCAACAACCCATGTTGGTTTAAACTGGTTTCCCCTCTCTTAGTCATGCTGGTTAGCTGTCTCCTATATCAAGGCCATCTCTTCCTGGTATTACCAGTCAGAGGTCTTTTCTACAAACAAAAGTCACAGTGAGAGAGCAATTATGTTAGCACAGAGTAACTCGTGGTTACCCCCACAATGTGCACCGGATATATGATGACAGGGAAGCAGGGAAAGACGGTATTCCACTGAAGCTGGAGGAAAGAACACTGGGGATAGGCATGCATGCTTGTTTTCTCTGTTCTTGTAGAATAACATTGTTTTCAAGATAACTGCTCATAAAATTATTTTCCAATGCTGTAGGTAGCCCTTTTGGAGATCCTTGTGGAAAGACTTGCTTGGAAGAAAGAGATAATCAATGGCTGGGGGTCACGCTTTCCAGACAGCCTGGAGAAAATGGTTCCATTGTGGTAGGTTGCTGGGATAGTTCCCTGATCACATCGTGAAACCAGATACCCTGGGTGTGACTTTCACATCATTTGGTCTATTTTTATGTTTTATTCAGACTTGTGGACATAGATGGAAAAATATATTTTACATAAGGACTGAGTCTAAGCTCCCCACGGGTGTTTGCTATGGAATGCCTTCTGATTTACGGACAGAACTGAGTAAAAGAATAGCTCCATGCTATCAAGGTAAGGTATGGTTTTGATATTAACTGGATCAAGATAAATATGTGAATGTCTTTCATTTTTTTTTTTTTCAATTTTGGATACTTGGTTAGCCGTGGGAGGATCTTTGAAAATAGCTGTGTTCGCTTTAATGTCTCATATTATTATTTCCCTTTTCTTTTTTTTAAAATCCAATTGCAGTTTCAATTTTCAGAAATGAACTGTGAGATAGTAAAAGACAGGGAAGCCTGGTATGCTACAGCCCATGGGGTCACAAAGAGTCAGACAGGACTGAGCGACTGAACAACAACTGTGTTTTTTTGGAGCTAGGAATTCTGAAAACTATTTCTTTGAATAGTTCTAGCATCTAGTTGATAATTTTCCACTTTAGCATTAAATATATTCTCAATTAAATAAAATTATGAAATAGATTGAAAAATCTGATCAGAAGGAAGAAAATTGTTTCTTGCTTTATCTTTAACTTCCAACAAGATTCAGAAAAATTTAAAATATAATTGTGGGCAGATCTTTTCCACTCACTATGTCTTTTTTTTTCCCTTGAATTCACTTACTTTCTTTGCAACTGCAAGGAATTGGTAATGTAAGTTTAAAAGGTCTTTCCCGTAAAAATTTTAGGTCATAGTGCATACAGAGCCAGGAAATAAACTGAAACAGCAGTTGGAGGTGAATGTTAACAGGGCACTGAAGAAATGATACCTGCAACAGAACTAAAGTTCTGAAAATGTGTCTTTAGAAAGAATATATGTGAATGCCAGTTTCCAGTTTCTTTTAACCAAAATGATTACCTCAACGTCCAAAGGAAATTTCTATTACTTGACAAAACTTTGAGCAATAGCCAAATTGCATTGATTCTATTAATGCTGGACTCTTTCATGCCTGGAATTTGACATCATAGCAAAGGTTATATCATCTGTGTTCCTAATTTGTCTTTGAATGCCAAGAAGATAAAAGGTGGATTTTAATTTCTTAGTTGCAGTAAAACTTACTAGAGCTATTATCCCATTTTTCCTAATAGTTTATGGTTAACATTTTAAAATATTTCACAGTTGGGGCATTTCTCTCTGATTGACTGTGGAGGCCCTCATGGTCTTTTGAGATCTTCCAGTCTCTCTATAATGCAGACTGGCCAGCCAGAATCATAATCTCCAGTCCAGACGAGGCCTTGCCCCTTGCTGATTTCACTTTCCTTCGAAATCAAGTGCACAGAAGTGGGATGATAGGAATTAGCTGTATAGGCTGAAGAAATCTGTTTTGACAGTCTAATAGAGATGCAAGCTAAAGATACCCTTCAACTGCAGCATCCGTCCTCATCTAGCTGGCCCCATGGCTGGTGCTTTTAACTGACCTAGCAACCACTTCTGACTGTTCTCATCATCTGAGATAATGCACTTGAATGCTTCATGTGCTGTAATTCTTGTCCTGCTGCTGGCTGATTCCTTCATTAAATGCTGGTGCCTCTGTTGGTGTAGATTTTGGTCCCATACATTTTTTCATGTGTTTTCTGGATAACTTTATGCAAGGGTTGATAATGTCCATGGATGACAATGTGCACTCCTACAAATATATATATATATATATACTTAGCCACATCCTATGGGGGGAAAAAACCATGATGGCAGAAACCTAAGACAACTAAAAATTAAACTTAAAAAATATATAGGAGCATAGAAAATAGAAAAAGAAATTAAAAAACATGACAAGAAGTGGTAATTATAAATGACTTAGCAATTTATTTAACATTTCTGGTTAGCAAAACCCAAACAAAGACATGGCACTCTGTTTTCATAGAGTTTTGCTTATGTCAGTTCCACAGGAAAAGCAAGCTCTGTGCCCATGGTAAGTTTCACAAAGCACGCATTTGTGGGGGCTTTGTAAGAGGAGACCCTCCATCTCCATGCAGATTTTGACTTTACTGTTTTCAGCTGGGCAAAATCTAGGAAGCCTACTTTAAATGGAAGCCTAGACTGGAAGCCATGAATCCTATCTCTGTCTTAGATGCTCATCTGACAACTTTTTGTATATCGTTTGTTCTTCCCCTGAAAAAGAGACTGCATAAATATCTCTATTGCTATTTCATAGGGATATTTTGAAGATCAACATGGAAGAGATTTGTGGCCTTAAAGTTTACTACTTGCTAAGTTTTAAAATAATGCTATTGTAAAAGATCTTAAAAGGCATACTTATAAGAATTTATACATAAACAAATTATGCAGATTTTGTCTTTATTTTAAAATGAAATCTTAATTGTTTTTCTACTTTATTTTAGATTTTGTGAAACAGTTTGGAGAGAATTTTGCATCATGTCAAGCTGGAATTTCTAGTTTTTACACAGAGGTAATAGTCCAAAAATTGCTGCTATAGATGCTTACATATAGAATTTTAATTCTTCTGAAGACTTAGAAGACTAATATTATGCTTTGAAATAAAGATTGAGTAATACTCAAATAATATATCTCTTAAATTTGAGTATATTACAACTTAATTTTTACCACTTGATATTCAGCCCATAGGTATTGATAAAATAGCAATATTTAGATGGCTGTGTCACCCAAGACCAATTAAAAGTCTACACTAAAGAAAGTTACTTTCATTAAGGATTTAACAGAAATCAAAAAATAGACATAGTCATTTGTTAATTTAAGCACTGAAAATAGCTAAGTATGTTATTTTTAGTTACTAATTGGGGTGGAGCATATAAGTTAACATTTTTCATTAGAAGTATGAGAATTGGGAGATTTAAGAACTTGATAATATACTCTTAAATAAGATATGTTCCCAAACTATTATTTTCTTTCTAACACTGTCACATAGACAGCTGTACTCGACTCCTAAACCTCCTACTTTCTCTGAGTAACCCCTTATGAAGTGATGAATGCTTTCTAAATCTATGTAGCCAGGCTGTATCAAACTATAGGTTAATAATTTTCATAAATATTGCCTAGTATGGAAAAATAATAATGCTTTCTTCCTTACTTTATGTTTAAATTGACCTCTTTTTTCAAAGTTTGGATCATTTAGGAAATTTAGAAATGTCAAATAGATTTAATTGCTGAAAGTTTTCATATTTCACCAGACAAATATGTCTACTCATTCCAATCTTCCCTCTGTTTCCTTTTTCTGAATTCCTACGTTTATCATCAAATATGTCCCAATTCCTTTTGAGTTATATTTTTCCAGGCTAACATTATTAAGGAACTTAGTCATTGAGTTTTTGCAAATTGAAATAAATTAAGTCCATTTTTTACTCTTTGGCAGCCCATGATTATCTCTGTAATGAGCACTAATGAATTACCCAGATATGATTTACTTTAATAGAAACCACATTGCCTTTTTCCCCACAGCTTACTCTAGTGTTCAGTGATTCTGCCTTTGATTGTAAAGTCCAGTAATGAGTGTGAAGTGAGAGTTTCGGCATTTCTTCTCTGAAATTCTCATTTTAGGTGAAAATTCACTAGCTAGCTTCTCTGGCTTTTTCGGGCATCCTCTTAAACTCATTAAATGCTTATATTTCAGAAATTTATGAAAATTATTTTTGTCACTGTTTAATGTATGTATATGGAGGAGGTTTCGAGTGGTGAGATTACACTTTTAAATGATGATAAATTTTCTTTTTCTTGCAGGATGTAATTGTGATGGGGGCTCCAGGATCGTTCTATTGGACTGGCTCTCTGTTTGTGTACAATATGACTACAAATAAATACAAGGCTTTCCTAGACAAACACAACCAAGTAAAATTCGGAAGTTATTTAGGTACTGTAAAAATCGACAAACTTGAATTATCACTGCCTTACAGATACTAGTAATTATAAATAAGGGAAATTATATCTTCAAAAGATCAAAATGGCCAGTAGCAACTAAAAAGCCATTTCAGAAACTGCCTCTTTAAGGCTATAGTCTATGAAACTTTAGTTAACTTAATATTTTACATATGTCACTATTACCATCAATATATAATTCTTAGATTGGAACTCCTGGTTTAATTTATTCTCTTGCAGTAAATCACTTGTTAAGTTTATATTTTTATGCAGTCAACTTATTATTATAAAGGTAGCATCTATTGAATGCCTGCCATCTCTTAGGAGCTTTTGTAAATATTCTACATGAATAACTCATTTAATCATGTGAATAAGTAAATACAGTTTCCTTAAGGACCAGTTGAAAATCAATGGAACTGAGAACAGCATTGTGGATGAATGGGTAACACTGTGAAGAGTATGGGTCTAAAAACATCTCATTGACCTTTGCCTCATAAGCTCTTAGAATATTTCCCAGAGCACAACTATTTTTATCCTCCTTCTTCTTATTATTTAATAAGTCAGCAGTAGGATAATCTATAGTCCTTATTTTTATAGAAAGTTAAGATCTTTTTCTGGCATTAATTCCCTTGTTGTAGTAAAAGAAATGCTTTTCCTATAGCTACTTAGGATATATAGATTTGTTTAAACCTGCTTTAATTGTAAACAGCCTATACTCAGAAATAATTATAATAAGAAAAAGCAAGATTTTCCCCGTCTTCAAACAGAAAAAATTTAGTTAAAAACAAAGGAAGTTCATTTACAATTCAGCATTTACTTGTTGAAGGGTGAAGGATATGCTGAAGCATTATAAACAATGTAACAGTTTGTATCTTTTATCACATAATAAAATAAGAATATTTTACCTTTTCTGTAGTCATACAATTTTATCATAATAGAAAGATTTCAGGCAAGAAAAGTTGAAGTTTAGGAAGATTTTTTTACATGAAGTTCAAAATATTATATTTTACACTAAAGTTTCTGTTGTAATCTTAAGTTACACTAAAGTTTCTGTTGTAATTTTAGAAACTAGCATGTCCTGACACTGCAGAGACTAACAAACCATGTTTAAAGATGCTAGCTTCAGTTTCTAAGGTTTAAAAATATAAGCCATATTGGTGGTGGTTTAATTGCTAAGTTGTGTCCGACACTTTGTGACCCCATGGACCGTAGCTCACCAGGCTCCTCTGTCCATGGGATTCTCCAGAGAGCATACTGGAGTGGGTTGCCATTTCCTTCTCCAGGGGATCTTTCCCACTCAAGAATCGAACCCAGGTCTTCTGTATTGTAGGCAGATTCTTTCCCAACTGAGCTACATATTAGCATACATATTAATAATTGCTTAGAGCATATGATAACCAATTTTGAGTATTGCTATGCTAAATATTCTTAAAACTCTATTTAGTCATTTTGAATTCAGTCTTAAAATTTAATTCTGAATGGATTTATGATTAATTCTTTAAGTGGATTTATGACAATGAATTTCACCCATTCCAAATGACAATTCTCACACCTCCATCCATTTTCTTGAAGGATACTCGGTTGGAGCTGGTCATTTTCGGAGTCCGCACACTACCGAGGTAGTTGGAGGAGCCCCTCAACATGAACAGATTGGTAAAGTAAGAATTACATTTTTAGAATTTATTCTTTCAAAATGGTTCAAATAGATTGCATGAGAGAACAAGATGTTAAAGGATGATCTGCAGAATTTCTCAGCAGTGAAGCTGGAAATGATGAGCACTGTACATTTAGTGGTAAGATTGGTGAAAGTCATGTGGCTTTTAGATAAAATTGAACAGAAAAGCTTTCAGGAAGATTACACAAGTTAAATGAGGCTCTTATGAGTAACTGTTTCTGAGATGGAATTTTCTCAAGATTCCAAGGAATACATTTATGGTTTACAAGTTTATAGCTGAAGAGAAATTGAGGCAGCTACATTCCTGGTACAGTTGTGGTTAAGACTAGAAAGAACAAAATGTTACTTCTCTTTCTAGTTTTTGTTACATTATTACATGAACCTCACTTTGAAAATTGAGACAAACAACATTTCCTGTGTTCTCTCTGAAGGAACAGTAGGATTGTTCCTGAGAGTTTGGTTCCCTAAATCTTTCGTATCACTCTGAAAAGAATTTTTTAAAAAGATATTTGAGCAATTACAAATTATGAAAATTAATGTTTTGAATGAAACGCTTTTAATGTGAGGATCATCTAATCTTTCCTAATTCTTTTTCCCATTGCAGGCATACATATTCAGCATTGATGCAAGAGAGCTAAATATCTTACATGAAATGAAAGGTAAAAAGGTAATATGTCTCTAACTTTGGTATCACTGAGGGCTTTGGTGAGTAACTCTTGCTTTTTTCTCAATGACTGGATCTGGTTTGCCTTGGAGCAGCTTGGGTCTTATTTTGGAGCATCTGTCTGTGCCGTGGACCTCAATGCAGATGGCTTCTCAGACCTGCTTGTGGGAGCACCCATGCAGAGCACCATCAGGGAAGAAGGAAGAGTGTTTGTGTACATCAACTCTGGTTCTGTAAGTCTGATCGTGCGCAAATTGGAAGCTGTTTATGGAATTTTAATCATAACTGTTGTTCTACTTACTCCAAAGTTCTGAGACTATAAATTTTTTAGGCTTACTCTACTGATGAAAGTAAAAATTGTGATATTATACTAATGCTTTAAAAATGAAATGGGACGTCATGATGAATGGGCTGCTGCCCCATTTTGATATCTTGAAAGTACGAGATCAGTTGTCTGGAGTTTCTCTGTACACAGCTTGTATGTGTTTACTCAGGCAGTTGCAGCTTCTTCCAGCTGCATGGTGCAACTCTGATTTGAAAGAATGACTTTTATATGGCCCTAAAAATGTGGATGTCCTAATAGTTTGACGGTGAATATCCCCATATAATTTGGTAATTATAAAACACTACTAGACATAGAAGATAAAGTATGAACTGTTTTTAATTTCTTGATTTGAAAACAATTGAAAACAAGATGTGTTCTGATAAGATATTAATTTACTCAATTCATATAGATTATATTCCTGATAAGAATGTAAAACTGGCATAGTTTATTCCAAAGCAGATGTAGTAGTTGTAGAAATAACTGTTTACTTGCTTATGATTGAGTTTTCAAGTCTAGGGGTATTTTGGAGTAGAATCTGACCGCTTGACAATTCAATTTAGGGAACTCTGCTGGCTTTATCTTGCCAGTCTGTCTTCTTGACATCAAACCAAAAGAAAGAATTGATAAGGCCTGAATGGGGTCTTCTTGGCCTATATCTTTGATTTAAGAGCAATAACAGGTTTGTGAGAAAACTAGTGCATTTCTTAAGTCACAGTATTTTTAATTAACAAAATCTGTTTCTGGAAGGTATTTTGTTTAATCAGTGATTTCAGAGCATTTAATAAACATGCATATTAAGCACTATACTAAACTCATTACAATTTAAGAGAGAAAATAGTCTTATAAAGCTGAGAGATCCTTTAAGTTCCAAATATAGAGGAGGAAAGTCATTTATGCACTGGCATATCCTAGACTGTTTAAACCTAAATTGAATAGTAAAACAGTATCATCTGTGAAGTGATCATTTGTTATCTCATTAATAGTGAAATCAGGAGTTACTTTTTCTTGTATAGATATTTCACATTTTCCTATCAATTAATGGTCTCCCTAATAGAAGCCACATCCTGATTTTACATACTTTTATTTCTTTTTACAACTAAAGTTTTTGAAAACAGTTTAAACAGTGGTATAGATACCTAACATAAGGCAATAAAGAACCATTTTTTCCCATTGAAATCGTCAGCATTTCCAATATGAAAAACAGATAAAAGCGAAGTGCCTTTGTTTAAAGGGCAAGGGAGGAGTTCTCCATTAGACTACCCTCTTGTTCACTCTTCACTTCTACACCACTCAATAGAGGTATTGAATACTGGGATTGATTTCATCATTGATTTCCACTATTAAAACCTCTGTGATAAGTTATTCTTCCTTTGTTGCCTTCCAACTTCTTGTTCCTAACTGTGAAAAGACAATAACTACTACTTGACATTCAGTTTAGTTCATTTCAGTCGCTCAGTCATGTCTGACTCTTTACAACCCCATGGACTGCAGCACGCCAGACTTCCCTGTCCATCACTAACTCCTGGAGCTTGCTCAAACTCATGTCTGTCGAGTCAGTGATGCCATTCAACCATCTCATCCTCTGCTGCCCCCTTCTCCTCCTGCCTTCAGTCTTTCTCAGCATCAGGGTCTTTTCTAATGAGTCAGTTCTTCGCATCAGGAAGCCAAAGTATTGGAGTTTCAGCTTTAGCATCAGTCCTTCCAATGAGTATTTAGGACTGATTTCCTTTACGATTGACTGGTTTGGATCTCCTTGCCGTCCAAGGGACTCTCAAGAGTCTTCTCCAACACCACAGTTCAAAAGCATCAGTTCTTCAGCACTCAGCTTTCTTTATGGTCCAACTTTTACATCCATACATGACTACTGGGAAAACTGTAGCTTTGACTAGATGGACCTTTGTCACCAAGGTAACGTCTCTGCTTTTTAATATACTGTCTGGGTTTGTCATAGCTTTTCTCCCAAGGAGTAATAGTCTTTTAATTTCATGTCTACATTTGCCATCTGCAATGATTTTGGAGCCCATGAAAATAAAGTCTGTCACTGTTTCCATTGTTTCCCCATCTATTTGCTGTGAAGTGATGGGACCAGATGTCATGATCTTCGATTTTTGAATGTTGAGTTTTAAGCCAGCTTTTTCACTCTCCTCTTTCACTTTCATGAAGAGGGTCTTTAGTTCCTCTTCACTTTCTGCCATAAGGGTGGTGTCATCTGCATATCTGAGGTTATTGATATTTATTGGTGTGGTTTGCTATTGTCTGTCCTTTTATTGGCGTGTAGACACTGTGTGCAGAGGAATCGGCTGTTTTATTTACACCTATTTCCTCAGGGCTTGAAAGAATCCTGGACAAGTTAGGTGCTCAGTAATTGTTTTTGAGCGAACTGAAGAAAGAACGATACTTGAGTGAATGCTGGCTTCTACTTCTGCTGAAAGAGCTCTCAGGGGTCCTAGTGAACTCTTGGTCTCCGTTCTGTGACTGGAGAACACTTGAAGAAGAGTGATCACTAGTTCTTTAAACTCTCCCCCTGAAACTCAGTGCCCTTGTATTGCCTTATCTACTCATCCTCTCTGGAGCCTCTTATGCCTTCTGCTCTTTAAATTGGGTATTTCTCTATGAACGAAACAAGAATCAAATTTTTTTAGCTGGAAAATAAAAGGTGAAGGGCACTTCACAAGGGAAGAATATGTGTGTGCTATGGAAATGATGAACAGACTTGTTTGAGAAGTTAAAAGATCTATGATGAGTTGTGCATGGTTTTTTTTTGTTTTGTTTTTTTTTTAACATAGGGAGTGACATGATCAGAGTTTGGAAAGAGATCTGGCAGCTGTTATTGCCATAACTTCTACTAAAACATTGTGGTGGTGGTGATTTAGTCGTTAAGTCGTGTCTGACCTTACGACCCAATGGACTATAGCCCTCCATGTTCCTCTGTCCATGGGGTTTCCCTGGCAAGAATACTGCCATTTCCTTCTCCAAGGAATCTTCCCAACCCAGGGATTAAACCCAAGTCTCTTGCATCTCCTGCATTGGGCAGGCAGATTCTTTACCTACTGAGCCACCAGGGAAATCCACTGAAACATTATTTCATGTCTAATAACTCAGTTTCCAAAATCAGAGACAGCAGTTGACCAACTCCTACCACAGTGCTGCTGGAAACATATTCCCAAGGCCAGTCAGTCGTGTCGCTCCTCAACTCAGAAACCTTCAGTAGCTCTGTCTGGTTTTCTAAGTTGAGAGTAAATTTCTGCCAGCGTTCAAAGTCCCACCCCAAAAAACTCCAGTCTTACTCTTTTTGTCTTATTCATTTGCACATACTGGTCATTAGCCAAGTAAGCCAAGGTAGCCAAGTTCTTGCAATTTGTATTTTGCTGGTCAGTTTCCCTATGTATCAAAACTTTGCCCATTCTTTGGTAGCCACCTTGACAACCCCTCCTTTATGAAACCTCTGCTGGCTCTCACAGTCAGCATGCTCTCTTTGCTTGCTGATATTGCAAAGCAGTACCTCTTAGTCATTTACATGCTTGTGCTATGCCTTCCCTTCACTGGGGGCTTCTTCAGGGAAGGGAGTGTCTTACACAGTTATTGACTTGCCCTCTTTCACTCATCCATCCTTTGTACAGTGCATTGCCTTTATTAGGAACTCACTAAATATTTGCTCAATTGAATTATCAAAATAATTTATTGCATTTTCAAAGCTAGGGATCATGAGTTTGACATTTTTTTCTGTCCTCTGAGCTCTAACCATACTATTATACGTGTTGACATACTTGATAAATATTTATTGAATTGAACTGAGATGTGTGTACTGAAGCTCAGACTAGTTTGTCCAACCTGTTTGAAGCATTAAGAAAAAAATCCATATCCAATTACAATAGTAAATCATGTGTCAAGTTGTCAGAGAGTGTTGTAATGACAGTTTTCTCCCTGTTTCTATCTAGGGAGCAGTAATGAACGAAATGGAAACAGAGCTCATTGGAAGTGACAAATACGCTGCAAGATTCGGGGAATCTATAGTCAATCTTGGCGACATTGATAATGATGGCTTTGAAGGTAATTAAAATTATTTAATTTGGTACTTGATTTCCACTTTTAAAAATGGGACATGGGAGAGAATATAATTGGAGTTCCATGTTGTTTGCCTTTCTATAAAATATGGAGGCAGACTGGTATATACTGTTTTTTTTCCCTTTAGTGTTATACCCAATTTCTTCTCAGTTGTCAAATATCCCTTCAACAAAAAGTGATATTCAACATACCTCATTTCATTGATTCTAAGGCACCATTGGTGCTAGTGGTAAAGAATCCATCTGCCAGTGCAGGAGATGTAAGAGATAACAGGTTCCATCCCTGGGTTGGGAAGATCCCCCAGAGGAGGAAATGGCAACCCACTCCACTATGCTTGCCTGGAGAGTCTCATGGACAGAGGAGTTTGGACAGAGAGTCTGCAGTCCAGAGGGTCTCAAAGAGTCAGACGTGACTGAAGTGACAGCACAAGGCACCTTTGATTATAAGTTGTTTTAAGTCATTATTTTATGTGCCCCTAAGAAATGGTGCCTCTTAAACTGTGACTCACTATTTTCCTATTTTAAGAAGACTGCTGATTTCAGAAATGTGAAAATGTGGAAGAAAATGTGTATCACAGACTCATCGGATCATATATTTAACAATCAGTATAGTAAGACATGGATAAAACCCAGCAGAGGCTAGCTGCAGGGCTTTAGCCAGGCTCTGAAAGCCCCTTACTGTGCCAAGCTTTCCTTGTTCAGGTTGTCCTGTTGTGGGGAAAGGGGGGCTGATGGTGGGAGGCTGGGGATCCCAGGAGAGAATCCTGAGTGGTAGGAAGGGAGAAACGGGCAGACTCGAAGACAGTGGCTGTTTGCCACCTGAGAGGGATGCATTTCAGTAATGGGATGGATGGTCTCATCAGCTCTGTGACTGTTGCCGAGGCAGCAGTCGTGCCTGTTGAAGGATCTGTCTCTACCAGCCTTCTCTCTTAAAATATGCTTACTTCAATCTAGTTCTACGTGGTTGACTACATCTATTAAAACTGTGCCTGCAATAATGAATGGGTTTGAAAGGAGAGTGTATAATTTCTGGAGTTCAGCAAATAAGTATTTGATATTTTCAAGGCTCAGAATTATCTTCTAGAAATGGTTTTTGGCAATTGGTATCTGGTAGAAGTAGGTCAAAACTTACTTGTATACTGGGCATAATTGAGGAAGTGCTGTAAATGCTCACTTTGTATCTTGTTTTGCCTAAATGCTTCATTCTACTTTAAATATTTAAAATATGTTATTCTACAGGGAGAATGCTAGTTAGCTATTGAAAATATGCTTCCAATGAGCTCTCTTGAATGTGAAATAGTATAATTTGGTCTACAGATGCCATTTCTAGATTTTACTATTTTTAAAACAAAAGGAGACAAAAGTATGTGTATATATCTTTGTGGTTATGATTACACATTAAATTTTACATTAAAATATCTATAAAATGTTAAGATGGATATCACATTTCACAATTAATCAAAAATTCTGTGATGTCTATTAAGGACTTAGTTTTTGTCAGTTGTACCATGCCAGCTATAGAGTATGTGCCATAATGAATGTAAATGAAGGAAATAGTGGCACACTTTTTTCAGTTTTACATTCAAATGGAATATCAGATAAAGACATGAAAAAATTGCTTCCACATCCTGTTTTAATTGACAGATCTGAAGAAAGATAGTCACTATTTTGAGTGAACATATTTGTGCATGTTCACATGAGGAATGTTTTTGGTAGTATCTAAATGTCAGTAGTGAACTTGAATTATTCTTATAAACAGACTGAGTTATAAAAATGTGATGGATAGTAGGCAGTTTCCCTTATCAAAGTCACTCCAGTACTTGGGAAAATCCAAGACAATTTTCTAGTTATGTGAAGGACAGGCAGAAAACGTGTTGTCCAAGAGACTTAGAAAGGGGGAATTTAGAGGAAATCTTCAGGGCACAATGCAGTATTTAGTGAATATGAGAACCCTGGGTTTCATACAGAACTTTGTGTCTTGGAGTCCTCAGCATGCATCTTCTAAATTCTATATGCATGGAAGATTATTATTCAAATGAATGTTTTCAGTATTCCAGCATATTTTGTGCTATTTATAATTTCATATATAGTTCAACATATTTACATCCAGTGGCCATATTAATTCTGATTCATTTTAGTGCCTGTTTATAATACCATATATCTTTTACTAATTCAGTTTTTTCTTCTTGTTTTATTGAGATATAGTTGCATATATCATTGAATAAGTTTAAGGTATACAACATAATGATTTGATATATGTGTATTGCAAAATGCTTACCACAACATTTAGTTACCATCTATCACCTCACATTGGAGAAGGAAATGGCAACCCACTCCAGTATTCTTGCCTGGAGAATCCCAGGGATGGAGGAGCCTGGTGGGCTGCTGTCTATGGGGTCGCACAGAGTCAGACACGACTGAAGCAACTTAGCAGCAGCATCACCTCACGTAGTTACAAATTTTTTTCCTTGTGATGAGAACTTTTAAGATCAACTCTCTTAACACCTCCCAAATATACAATACAGTATTGCCAGCTACAGTCACCATGTTGTATATCCCCAAGACTTAACTGATCTTCTAACTGCCAGTTTGTATTTTTTGACCGCCTTTACCCAGTTACCCCACTCTCCATCCTCTCTCTGACAAACAACAATCTGATCTCTGTTTCTATGTGGTTTTTCTTCCCCCCTAATTCCACATGTGAGTGAGATTACACAGTATTTGTCTTTGTCTGTCTGACTTACTTAGCATAATGCCCTCAAGGCCCATCCATGTTGTTACAAATGACAGAATCTCCTTCTTTTTTATGACTGAAGAGCATTTCTGTTTTGCCCATGGGTATGTGTTTTCTGCATTTTAGATGCTAGCCAAGACCATGTTGGCTTGGAAGTAGGCTGAGTATGTTCTAGCTCTTCACTGAGGTCTTTAATTCCATCCTACCATATATGCCTGGGTGAGCCAGCCAGGCATCTGTCTTTTATTTTTTCATTATGTGCTTCCCTCTTCTTTTTCCCCCGTCTTCTAACTTAGTTTATTTTTCTGGGATATGAGTGAAGTCACTTCATGTTCACGACAGAGTACGTGGGATTGTGTAGAAAAGAGAGGAGAACCCTACCTGTTTCTTTGCCTTCCACCTCCAGTCTTAGACGCAGATCAAACTTCTGGTCCTTTTACTGTGCACAGCTTGTAATGACCTCAGTTATTTAGCATTCATGACATCACTTTTTTTTCTTCAAAAGGAAAAAATTAGAATTTATTGGAATATATTTCCTGTGTCCTTAGAAAAACAAAACAAGCTATTTTCTCAGATGATAATCGAACAATTTGACAAAAGTCCAGCAGAAACATTTCACAGAATAGGTAATAGACAAACCTGTTCAACCAATGTGACCAGACAGACAGACTGATAGCATTTTAGCCATAAAATGGTTCTGGCAAGTTATTTCCAGTGTATGTTTTCCAAGTTGAGCCTGGAAAGCGCAGGTGTTAGTTACTCAGTTGTGTCCGACTCTCTGTGACCCCATGGGCTGTAGCCTGCCAGCCTCCTCTGCCCATGGGATTCTCCAAGCAAGAATACTGGAGTGAATTGTCATTCTCTCCTCCAGGGGATCTTCCCCACCCAGGGATTGACCCTGAGTCTCCTGCGTTGCAGGCAGAGTCTTTAGCATCTGAGCAATTCATCTGACTTTTAGACTGTATCTTTGAATATTTTTTTGAGCCTAACCATAATAAAGTTCTACAGTTGTGAACTATATGCTGTATCAATTTATGTGGTCCTGAAATTCTTATATATTATCAAGTCACATATTGAACATTTCTTTCACACAGTAGAGGAACGTGTGCTAGGAGGGGAGGGTGTTGGGCATAACTCTATGTTAATGATTTTATAGAGCGTGGTGATGGAGGGTACAGGTTCTGGGGCCATACTGCAGGGTTTAAATCCCACTGTACCACATCTTACCATATCCAGGCTTCCCTGATGGTTTACATGGGTAGAGAATCTGCTTGCAATACAGGAGACCTGAGTTTGATCTCTGGATCAGGAAGATTCCCTGAAGAAGGGAATGACAACCCACTCCAGAATTCTTGCCTGGAGAATTCCATGGACAAGAGGAGCCTGGAGGGCTATAGTCCATGGGGATACCAGGAGTCAGACACAACTGAGCGACCAACACTTTCATGTACTACCACATGCTGGCTCTATAACCTTTAGCGAGTTTTATTCTGGACCTCAATTTCTTCATCTATAAAAAGTGAGGATCAAAAAGTATTTGACAGAGCTGTTGAGAGAGTTACATGAGTTATAGTGGGTTATGTGAGAATAACATGAATTTTGTATGTTAAGCCTTTAGCACAATGCCTGCCTTGTAAACAGAATATAATTACTAGCCGATGTTAAGATTATTATGGTCATATTAATGATAATTGTTATGGTTTATGCTATCAGTGTAATAAATGTTCAAATGAAAAGTAAAAGGAGTTGTCAAATATCTCCATGTTTATTCTCTATGTTTTGTCCAAACTGAGTTGCACAGGCATGGAAAAACATTTTATTATTAATAATGTATTCTCTGTTATGAAGTAATCAGCCTCCAACTAATAAAAAAAAACAATGTATTCTCCTTATTTCTATAATGATAGCTAGAACTTTAGGACATTATATAATAAATCCAAGTTTCATCTTAGGAAGGAAGAGTTTGGATCTAATATAAGCCAGAGTCTGAATATACTTAAATATCTTCTGCTTGGAAATAATTGATCTGGGCTGGCTTAATAGTTCAGCTGAAAAGGTTCATTTGTATTGTTTCAAGATATTTTTATTAATATAGACAACTTGTGCGAGTAACTGATAAACAGAATTCTTGCAGTATCAGCTTCATAACCCCACTTGCTATCTTTTCCTGTATTATCATCTAGAATCAAGGTACAGAATCCTGTTAAGAGGTACTCAGGAGTAGCCAAATGGTTGAAGTATAACCCCCACCCCCCATGAATGACATCGCTAAGTGGGCTCCTATCCAGCAGCTACAGGATGCTTCCTCTCTCGCCCTTCCCTCACTCACCCTTGTCTCCCTCTTTCTCTCCCCTTCTTCCTCTCCCTCCCCATTATGTTGCTTGATTTATCCAGTCTGCACAGAAATGGCTCCAACTGTTCCAAATTGTCAATCTCCCGTGTGCCAAGCTGCCTCTCGGTCCCCTACAATGCACAGGCTGTGTCCTCTGTCCAAACGTTGCCTTTTTTCACCTGGCTCTGACCTACTATAATCGAAGTCTTCCCTAATTTTCACCACCTTTTCCCTGCATGCCATGTTATTATTTTTACTTGCTGTTCTTCCCCGCTAGACTATCTGTGCCTTTTTGTGATACTGTCCTGTAGAGTCCTGTAGCTACTCTGACAAGTATCTGGTATGCAGTAGGCGCTCAGTAGTTTTCCACTGAATGGATAAATGAATGGATCTATTTTGTATATAAAAATTTTAAATACTTTGCACAAGTTAAAAGAGGCTAGCCTTGCTATGTCTAAGCAAAACAGGCTTAAGATGTGTCTAGTATTTAATTTTCAGAGAAGGCAATGGCACCCCACTCCAGTACTCTTGCCTGGAAAATCCTGTGGACGGAGGAGCCTGGTAGGCTGCAGTCCATGGGATCGCCAAGAGTCGGACACGACTAAGCGACTTCACTTTGGCTTTTCACTTACACTCGTTGGAGAAGGAAATGGCAACCCACTCCAGTGTTCTTGCCTGGAGAATCCCAGAGACGGGGGAGCCTGGTGGGTTGGTGTCTATGGGGTCACACAGAGTCGGACATGACTGAAGTGACTTAGAAGCAGCAGCAGTATTTAATTTTAGGTTAAAATAGAAAAGCTTTTGTATTTTTAAAATTGGGCAGCATTTGGAACAGAGTTTTATTCCCATTGAAAAAGAAGTGCAATATTACAACTGTAGTTGTTGAAAAACTTTTAGATCTGATGAATAGTGATAAATAATGTCATGAAAGCAAACTTTCTGTATTTTAGTTTCTCTTAAAGTAATAAGAAAAAAATCAGTTAAAATATATGAATATACTCAAATAATTTGGCATAATTGGTAAAGACAATGAAATGTTCTTACAAACTTTTTTTTTCCTCCTGTGTACTTTGTATTTATAGCACTTAAGCAACCATATTATTCAGTTTCCGTTTTCTCTTGGTCTTAAGTGAAAACATATCCTTCATTGGAACAGGAATTAATTTAGAAGTCATTTGGCAAATAAATAAAACCTATAACTCAAAGGCTCTTGTGGTTTATATTATTTAGAGATGATAATAACTTATTATGTGCTACACACTGCTCTAAGCACTTCACATGAGTTGCATCTTTCTGCATCCAGTGAGTTCTCTCATGATCCTGTGCGGAAGTGAGAAAGCAGATACAGAAGGGTTAAGAAATGGGCCCAGGAACTTCCCTGGCGGTCCAGCGATTAACAGTCCACCTTCCAACACAGAGTGTACAGGTGTGATCCCTGGTCAGGGGGCTGAGATCCCACATGCTACACAGCGTGGCCACAGGAGAAAAGAAATGGGCCCAGGGAAGGACAGGGAAGCCTGGAGTGCTGCAGTGCCTGGGGTCAGCGACGGACAACCGGAAAGCACAGCTGGGCCCTGGAAGTGCTGGGTCAGACCCTGGTGGCCTGGCTATAGGACCCAAGTCCTTAACCATTCTCTTACGGGCCTCTAAGACCGTCAGACTCTAATTTCCACACACAGACTTGACTGTGCAATCCTGTACGTTGTTATGACAATGATAGTATTGCATAATTTTTTTTTCTGTCCAATGAAAATGCTGTTTATTGATAAGGAGTTTTCCTATGTGATATTTAGTAAAGAGCATGAAGGCTAGTTTTCAGAGTCTCATTCTTTGCATTAAGAGTTTATTTTCTGCCATTTCAATTCTTGAATAGATGTTGCTATTGGAGCCCCACAGGAAGATGACTTGCAAGGTGCTATTTATATTTACAATGGCCGAGTAGATGGGATCTCAACAACCTTCTCACAGGTGGGATAATACTATTCTATTTTCAAAAGAAACATTGGTAGTAAATTCCTTCTTAAAACTTCCAGTGTTAACGTACACTTATTTTTCTTAACAAGCCCTTTCAAACACTTAATACATTGTGGTTTATATTATTTAGAGATGATAATAACTTATTATGTGCTACACACTGCTCTAAGCACTTCACATGAGTTGCATCTTTCTGCATCCAGTGAGTTCTCTCATGATCCTGTGCGGAAGTGAGAAAGCAGATACAGAAGGGTTAAGAAATGGGCCCAGGAACTTCCCTGGCGGTCCAGCGATTAACAGTCCACCTTCCAACACAGAGTGTACAGGTGTGATCCCTGGTCAGGGGGCTGAGATCCCACATGCTACACAGCGTGGCCACAGGAGAAAAGAAATGGGCCCAGGGAAGGACAGGGAAGCCTGGAGTGCTGCAGTGCCTGGGGTCAGCGACGGACAACCGGAAAGCACAGCTGGGCCCTGGAAGTGCTGGGTCAGACCCTGGTGGCCTGGCTATAGGACCCAAGTCCTTAACCATTCTCTTACGGGCCTCTAAGACCGTCAGACTCTAATTTCCACACACAGACTTGACTGTGCAATCCTGTACGTTGTTATGACAATGATAGTATTGCATAATTTTTTTTTCTGTCCAATGAAAATGCTGTTTATTGATAAGGAGTTTTCCTATGTGATATTTAGTAAAGAGCATGAAGGCTAGTTTTCAGAGTCTCATTCTTTGCATTAAGAGTTTATTTTCTGCCATTTCAATTCTTGAATAGATGTTGCTATTGGAGCCCCACAGGAAGATGACTTGCAAGGTGCTATTTATATTTACAATGGCCGAGTAGATGGGATCTCAACAACCTTCTCACAGGTGGGATAATACTATTCTATTTTCAAAAGAAACATTGGTAATAAATTCCTTCTTAAAACTTCCATTGTTAACGTACATTTATTTTTCTTAACAAGCCCTTTCAAACACTTAATACTGTTTCACCATTTTCTTATAATAACAGTAGATGGTCTCATTTTTAAGGTCATTAATAACTCTATGAAATCATTTTATTTCCATAAACAAGAGTTCTGGTTCACTTCCATCCTACTTTTTCTTTAACCTATTCAGGATTTCTCTCTGCATTTCATCAGATTTATGTTCTGAGGTAATACCCCAACTCTTCCAAGTAAGCCCATGTGGATTTGGTTAACTGTCTCACTTCAGGGCTAAGCCCCATCTTCCATGGAGGTTTCACAGGAAGAGCAAAGACTCATGTGAAACTGTGTTCCTTTCAGTGCAAAGCAGTGAGATGAGAGCACTTTATTAAGGTTTCCTGACCTAGCTCTGACTTTACTTTCATATTGTGAAAAATCAGGACATTTCATTGCATAGAAGAAAACTACACGCACATGCAGAGAAGAGAAATTTTTCCAAAGATACTCTTAGGGAAACTTTAGCTAATACTGTTATTTTTGATTAGGCAAAGTGGGTAAATGATCCTCTATATAGCATGAAAGATATATACTTTTCTATTAAAGAATACTAATTCTCTTGGACAACTCTGATACTTGTAAATCAATGTCTGGACATGAGATTAGACACGTGGGATGGCAAGCACATATCTGACTTGAGTTGTCCTTGTCAAATACTAGAAAGCAACCTGGCTAAACAAGATAGTTATTATAAATCTAAGTAGTAGGCTCCACTAAGTGATCATAAATGTCTTATTTTCTTATTGGTTTAATTGCTCATGTTGCTTAGGGAAATAAGCATACAGCCTTAAAAGAGACTGAGGAGAGAGTGTCAGGTGTGTTTTAGGAGATCTTTACTACATAATTTTCCCTTTGCTCACAAGATAAAGAAAGCAGTTTTTTTCACTTAAATAGATGTTAGTTTTCCACTTCACACTGGAGACTACTCTTTCTCCCAGACACATGTATTTGCCTTAACTACAATGCATTTGTTAATAATGTGTCAGGGTTCATTATTTAACTAAGTCAGTGTTTCTCTGGGATATTAGATGTTTAAATCCTGCTTCCCATTCAACTTTACTATTTTTTCAGAGAATTGAAGGACGTCAAATCAGTAAATCATTAAGTATGTTTGGACAGTCTATATCTGGACAAATTGATGCAGATAACAATGGATATCTAGGTGAGTATAAAATTTACTATATTTTATAAATTGAAATAAGCACTATTGTGGGTACGACTTTATGGTGAAATACATACAACTGGTAGAAAAAAGTGCTGATTTACTAGTGAGTTTTTTCCTTCATTTTTATACTCTTAAATTCACAGATGGGTCAGAAATAATCAAATAATTACTAAGCTTTTACACTGTAGGTTACTTAATATTTTATTCCTTGTTTTCAAAAAGATTAAAAGCATTCACAAGAATAAATCAAATATATGATGATGAAAAGAAGAGGATTTATTTTTTATAATTTGAAAGGAGATATCTCGGTGGGTGTTCATAGTCCAAAAATCAAATTTTGTTTTAGTAAGGCTGTCTTTATATCATAATATTTATGTTTATCTTATATGATAAAGGGATGAATGTCACTGTAAATGAGCAGATTCAGACACATGTGAAATGAATCTTAAGATGTAAGCATATCTTTTCTAATTAATTTTCTGTAAATAGTATTTTGATATAGTCACAAGGTGATATGTAGTTAAGTATTTATGGCTGAAAGTAATTCTCTTTGACTAATGATGATCATTAATCTGTGTTATTTTTTTCTTCCTCCAGATGTAGCAGTTGGTGCTTTTCGGTCTGATTCTGCTGTGTTGCTAAGGTAAGGTTGATAGATTTCACCACTTAATGACAATTGGGCTTAATTGTAAATGATGGGAGGCAGTTTTTAAAATCAGCATGATGGTGACCTCATAACACTCTTTTTGGTACTCTGAAATTTAATTATTGAACGTAGGATAATTTTCCCATCTTACCTGGATATATACTTAAATCATCTAAGTCAATATTTTTAGAGATTTTAGTAAAAATTTATTTTGATTCATACATGAAAGTATAATTGAGTGTATATATGTACATATACATATATGTTTATATGCTATTAAGCAGTTTCATAAAATTACTTGATCAGTGGAAACTGACAATGCAGATGTATTTGTCACCTTAATGAAAAATAATTGTGCAATTAATATTGCTAATTTTATTTCCTTCTTAGGACAAGACCTGTAGTGATTGTTGAAGCTTCTTTAAACCACCCCGAGTCAGTAAATAGAACAAATTTTAACTGTATTGAAAATGGATTGCCCTCTGTGTGCATGGATCTGACAATCTGCTTCTCATATAAGGGCAAAGAGGTTCCAGGTTATATCGGTAAGGGTGCCCTTAAGAATTAACGCCTGACAGAATATGCACTTCCCTCATAAACCTCATGATCGTCTTTCGAGGCTTTTCCCTATTTCACCATGGAGTGGTTTTTAGGGCAGGAGAGAGCAGCCGTTCTTCATCACCTTCCAGATTCTTGCTGTGTTCCAATGAGTTGGATAAGTTAAGGCTTTAGTTGTTTAAATATTATGGCAAGAAGTAGAACAACAATATCACTTGCTGTATTATTTAAGATGAACTGAGCTTAATCTGTAAGATCTCTTTAAAATAAAAAGAGCATCACCATAGCTCCTCCTGTTTTACTAGGCTTACTGAAGTCTTTAGTTGGCAGACCTGAGAGGAAGAAGTTTCTTTTCTTCTTATCCTATCCTGTTTGGGTAACTGAAGAAGCTTCTCTGAAAGTCTGGATCCTGGGTCTAATTTTGATAAATAACACACATCTCTTCAGGATTTACTATGGCAGTCGGTTCCTAAGAGCCATGCCCACATGCCTGTATGTAGACAGCTCTCAATTATCTGCTCTGCAGAAAGTGGCTTATATATAGAATTTTATTTATTTTTGACCATGCTAGGTCTTTGCTGCTTTGTGCAGGCTTTCTCTGCTTGCAGAGAGTGGGGCCCACTCTTCGTTTCAATGCATGGGCTTCTCATTGCAGTGACTCCTCTTGTTGTGGAGCACAGGTTCTGGAAGCATGGGCTTCAGTACTTGTGGTACACAGGCTTGGTAGTTGTGGCTTGTGGGCCCCATAGAGCACAGGTTTCGTAGTTGACGCACGTGGGCTCGGGAGTTGTGGCTCAATGGCTTATTTGCATGTGGAATCTTCCTAGACCAGGGGTTGAACCTATGTCCCCTGCGTTGGCAAGCAGATTCTTTTTTTTTTTAATTGAAGGATAATTACTTTACAATATTGTGATGATTTCTGCCATACATCAGCACGAATCAGACATAGGTTCCCGTATGTTCCCTCTCTCGTACCTCCCTGCCACCTCTTTCCTCATCCCACCCCTCTGGGTTTTCACGGAGCACAGCAAATTCCCACTGGCGATCTGTTTTACGTACGGAAATGTATATGTTTCAGTGCTATTCTCCCACATCATCCCACCCTTCCCTTCCCCCGCTGTGCCCCAAAAGTCTGTCCTTTTTGTCTGCATCTCGTTTTGCTGCCCTGTAAATAGGGTCATCAGTACCATCTCTCTAGATTCCATATATATGTGTTATTATATGATATTTGCCTTTCTCTTTCTGATTTACTTCTCTCTGTATAATAGGCTTTAGGTTCATCCACCTCATTAGAGCTGACTTAAATGCATTCCTTTCTATTGCTGAGTAATATTCCATTTTGTATATGTACCACAACTTCTTTATCCATTCATCTTCTGATGAACATCTAGGTTGCTTCCATGTCCTGGCTATTGTAAATAGTGCTGCAATAAACACTGGGGTACGTGTGTCTTTTTCAATTAAGACTTCCTCAGGTATAGTCCCATAGTGGGACTGCTGAGTCACATGGTAGTTTTCTTCCTGGTTTCTTAAGGAATCTCTACACTGTTCCCCATAGTGGTTGTATCAGTTTGCATTCCCACCAAGAGTACAACAGGGTTCCCTTTTCTCCACACCGTCTCCAGCATTTATTGTCTGTAGACTTTTAGATGATGATCATTCTGACTGGTGTGAGATGATACCTCATTGTAATTTTGATTTGCATTTCTCTAATAATGGGCAATGTTGAACATCTTTTCATGTGTTTATTAGCCATCTGTATGTCTTCTTTGAAGAAATGTCTAGTTACTCTTCTGTAATTTTTTGGATTGCATTGTTTATTTTTCTGGTATTGAGCTACATGAGCTGTTTGTTTATTTTAGAGATTAATCCTTTGTCAATTGTTTCATTTCTATTATTTTCTCCCATTCTGAGGGTTGTCTTTTTACCTTGCTTATAGTTTCCTTTGTTATGCAAAGGCTTTCAAGCTTAGTTAGGTTACATTTGTTTATTTTTGTTTTTATTTTCATTATATTAGGAGGTGGGTCATAGAGGATCTTGCTGTGATTTATGTTAAAGAGTGTTCTGGCAGGCAGATTCTTATCCACTGTGCCACCAGGGAAGTCCTGAAAAACTAGCTTTGATATGGTTCATCCAACATTGTGGTTAATCTCAAATCTTATATATGTCACTTCATAAACCTTATTTTTTTCCTAGCAAGTTAATGTTCCTAATTATATTATATTTAAGCTAATGTTAGGATAACTACTAATGAAACTGGCCCATAGTAGGAGAGAGACATAAAAGAGTTTACCATTTTGATGTTAAAAATTCATAAGGTTCCCGTACCCCACAAGATCTATCAAGAGTTGTTCACAAACTTGACCCTGCAGGTTGTCCTCTGAACTTCATGAAGGGAAACAAATGCTGAACCAAGCTTTAGATATGTGACAGAGGCCTCAGTCTAAATTAGCCTGTAATAAGAAGTATAGGATGAGCCTGATATTTCTACTTTAGATCAGATTCATTTTTTTAACTTTAATTTTATTTGAGTATAGTTGGTTTGCAATGTTTTTAGTTTCAGGGGTACAGCAAAGTGATTCAGCTATACATATATTCATTCTTTCTTAGATTCTTTTCTTACAGATATAGATCAGATTCATGTTTAACAACACTCTGCAAAAGTCCTCATTAAAGATTTGGTGATGGGACAGTGAGCAGAACCTCCATCTGATTATTGATTGAAGAAGCAGCCATTTGAAAGCGTGACCCTAGTAGCACAGTGACGCGGGCAAACTGATGGGTTATCTGAGAGACGCGTTACATGGAGAGAACTATTCTCCTCTATGGAAAGTCAGTGTGTGCTGTACTACCAATTCCATTGTGGCCAAATACTTCTTTAAATGGTTGAAAACAAATATATGAAAATCATAAATGAGCATAGCATTGTTGCTGAAGCACACTTTATAGTTGTTGTAAAATGACTCCTTGGGAGAAATAATTCACATGGTAAACATATTTAGTAAAACCAGGACATTTTGCCTCTCACTGCAAGTGGATTTGTATTTCCCTTCTTTCATGTACTTCTTGTCTGAGCTCAGAGTGATGAGTTTGTAGATGGCAATTTCAATTGCAACTCTGTCTCTGAGGCACTGAATCTCGGTTATTGTAATTCTGAAGATGAACTTTATTTTCTAAATAAAAAGAATGATGAAATGATGAAAATTTGAAGTTTGTAGGAGTGATGTAGGTTTTATATTTATGTTTCCTTGAAGTAAGTAGATAAAATCCTTCCATAAGAAGTTACTCCTAAAGTATAAATGAACACTTGAGGAATTGTATAAATTATTTTAAACATCATTTATGAATTATTGTTCCTGTTTAATGAATGACATCTCAGAAGACTATTAGATATAGCTTGTTTTGCAAGGAAACTTTATTTTTCAATTTTTTATATTGAGGTATAATTGGCATACATTATATTAGTTTCAGGGGTACAACATGATGATTCAATATTTGTGTATATTGTGAAAGAATCACCAAGACAGTCATCCCTCATCATACATAATTGTAAATTTCTTTCTTGTGTTGAGAAATTTTAATACTCACTTAGCATCTTTCAAATGTGCAATACAGTGTAATTAACTGCAGCTCCCTGATAGCTCGGTTAGTAAAGAATTCACCTGCAATGCAGGAGACTCTAGTTCAATTCCTGGGTCAGGAAGATCCACTGGAGAAGGGATAGGCTACCCACTTCAGTATTCCTGGGCTTCCCTTGTGGCTCAACTGGTAAGGAATCCACCTGCAATGTGGGAGATCTGGGTTCAATCCCTGGGTTGGGAAGATCCCGTGGAGAAGGGAAAGGCTACCCACTAGGAATTCTTGGGCTTCCCTGTGGCTCAGCTGGTAAGGAATCCACCTGCGATATGGGAGACCTGGGTTTGATCCCTGGGTTGGGAAGATCCCCTGGAGAAGGGAAAGGCTACCCACTCCAGTGTTCTGGCCTAGAGAATTCCGTGAATAGTGGAGTCCATGGGGTCGCAAAGAGTTGGGACATGACTTGAGCGACTTTCACTTTCACCATGCCATACATCACATCCCCATGACTTATCTGGAACTTTGTATCTTTTGATCTTCTTCACATGTATTTCCCATCCTGCACCCCTCACCTCTGACAGCTACCATTCTGACAAAGAACCCTTTAAATCTAAGAAATAGATCTTTCTTTCCTAATAAGATCAGTCTTGGAATTGTTTGGTTGTTGTAAATTTTTCTTGTTGTTTTTGTTTGTTTGTTTGTTTGTTTGTTGGTGATCTTCTTTAGCAGATGATCATTTACTATGTCAGATTTGAAATAAATTCTTATCAAACTGCCAGAATATTTATCGAGAGAATGTCGGACTACATTTGTTTTTGCACAAATCAACACTGGAAGATCAAGCCAGAAATCAATAAAGATAAGGAAGAGAAATACTCAGGGTCTAGGGCTGGAAAGGAGATGTCAGAATCAACTGTTACATAGGTTTGACTTTTACATCATGTGTTCACTCTACATTAAAAAAAAAATAAAAAGACAGGTAGCAGCCCCTCAAATTGGAAACAAATGAACCCGAACCATACCTGAAGGGCTTCTCTAGTAGCTCAGTAGTAAAGAATCCACCTGCCAAGCAGGAGACAGGTTTGACCCCTGGGGGGTCAAAAAGATCCACTGGAGAAGGAAATGGCAACCCACTCCAGTATTCCATGGACAGAGGAGCCTGGCAGCTACAGTTCATGGGATCGCAAAGAGTCAGACACGACTGCACAGCTATGCAGCAGCAGCAGCAAATCATACATGAAGTTAGTTCTGTAACCACACAAGATACAAGTATTCCAGGTGACGTTTGCCTGCAGTGCTCTGCGAGGTCTTCCTCAGTCAGATGTTCTAATGACAAAAGGGCTCAAAGAAGGCTGAAACTTTACTCAGAACTTTTATTATCAGTAGCAACTTCGGTCGTGTAGTTTTGAAATGTTTATATATGGGTGGTGGTATTGGTTTAGTTGCTAAGTCGTGTCTGACCCTTACAGCACCATGGATTATAACCCACCAGGCTCCTCTGTCCATAGGATTTTTCAGGCAAGAATACTGGAGTGGGTTGCCATTTCCTTCTCCAGTTTATATATGGGAGGATTAAGCAAATAACCAAAGATGTTAATTTTCAGTTTATAATTCTTTTTTTAAAATTTGTAAAAATAATTTTTGACATATACGTTTTAAATTGTTTCCTCTTTCATATTTCAGGTTAGTTTTTAGAAAGTAATTTAATAAAGATAATTTAATATGTTCCCAGTATGCTATATAACTGTGACTATTATCACTTCAAAGATAAAGAAAATAAATTAATACTGTATGAATTACATTCATTGCAATTCTCTCTACGTTTTTGCAGTTTTGCTTTATAACATGAGTCTGGATGTGAACCGAAAGGCAGAGTCTCCATCGAGATTTTACTTTTCTTCCAATGGAACTTATGATGTGATTACGAGAAGCATAAAAGTATCGAGCAAAGCAACTAGCTGCCAAACACATCGAGCATTTATGCGGGTAATGTAAACTTGTTTTCGTTAACAGATATGTAAACTTCAGTATCATCAATACATTTAATTCTTATTGTATTGGTATGTTTTATAAAACATAATGAAAAGTGTTAATGCCTCCCGAGCTAATCTAATACTCTGTAGTCTCCATGTTAGACCACCCTGTGACCTGGGTAATTCAAACCCTGCTTGCTGCTGCGCCTTTGTTTCATCTTTATCACATTGAGGGCATCTCTGTTTTTAAGATCTGCCTTTTCCTATCCTCAGTTGTTACTGTCCCATCTCTGTTTACATGCTTGCCTAAAAATGTAAATATCAAGTAGCTCTGCGAACCCCAAATCTATGCCTGGTAGATTTTGAGGGCTGGGGGCAGGCTGTGGAAGTTGGTTTGTTTTTCACGTGACTTTAAGAAGCAGAAGTGAATGTGCTGCTTTGGGATCGTGCCTTTGTCTCTGAGCCAGCACTGTTGGTGATGTCGGTGGGAACTCACACGGTTGTCGCCTGGTGGGGCCATCTGTGGGCCGGGATGATGACTCTCGGGATGGTTTGGTGTGTATTCTGCCAAAGCATAGCCAATTTCATGTTTCTTTTATTAAAACACTCATTCCCAAACTGATCATCACGTTCCTTGCATTGGTCACATTTTATCGTATGAAGCAGTGCCAGGTCTTTTTCATTAGGGAATGGTGTACTTCATCAGAAAATCTATTGTCACAAAAAAGCCAAACTATTCCCGGGAGCCCTTTCTGGGATTTCAAATAGTAGCCTCAGCTTAGACCTTAATTATCCCTTAGATGCTTATTCCAAGCAAATGCAAGCAAGCAACAGGACTATTAAATGTTAAAAGCAATAATCCTTATGCTATTTCCTCATTTCCCTTAACAATTTTTATTATTGTACTAGGATAAAGCTATTAAATGGTTGACAGCCAAAAGTGTAGAATGATATTAGAGTAACCATCATTGATATGGTGGGGATTAAAGAGGTTTTTTAAAAATTCTACACAGTTAATTTTATTCCAGTTAACCAATTTTAGAGACTAACATTGAGACCATTTTATACTTCCACCTTTTCCCCTTCTATTTGCTTCTATTTGCCATGCAGCAATGGGGCTGGATGCCATGATCTTAGTTTAATATTTATTCTTAAGCTGGTTCTTTCACTTTCCTCCTTCACCCTCATGTAGAAGCTCTTTAGTTCCTCTTCACTTTCTGCCATTAAGAGTGCTATCATCTGCATATCTGAGGTTGTTGATATAGTACTTCTAATGAGGATTCATGTTTAAAAACAATTGGACTATATTATGATGATCTTTTATCTAGTTTGTTTCACTTTTTTCTATTTCATATTCAGTGCTCACATTTCATTTAGTTCACGCTCTCCAATGTTTGGAGACTTTTTTCTTTCTTTTTTTTTTTTTTTTTTGATGCTCTGTCTCAAGTCTTTATCAAGTGTAGTAGAAAAAAGCTTTTGTATACATATATAAAAATATGCATTATATATATTTTAGAAAGCTTATGAATTTTTGCCTAACTCAAAAATTGAGAACATTTTAAAGATAATAAAAGGGCCAGCACTAGACATTGATAAATATATTGTGTTGAATTTGTATAAATGGCAGTGAATTGATCTGATTTTGTTGGTCCTGTTTCTTGGTATTGCTCCTATGACTAAGTGTCCATCAAAACTGTGCCCGTTCCTCAGAATAAGCTTGTACCCGAAATGACAATTGAGCAGCGGCTTCTGTGTTCGTTGCATGTGTGCTTGTTGTGTTACCGTGGCAGTGACAAGAGCAGGTTACAGCCATGACTTGGGGCCATACTGCCAAAGTCAAAAATAGCATTTAGCTCTGGGATTGGTACATAGTGGGACTGTTCATTTAAGGATTGTTTCTTCCAATGTTGTTTTTCCTTTCTAAATTACCTTGCTTTTGTTTGGGACATTTTTTTAAACCTGTTACATGGAAAGTCAGAAGGCTACTCCAACACCCTCCCTTGCAACAACTCCAAAGGGTAGGTGTAAAAGCTACAGAAGCAGCTGTCCTAACCTTGAGTTTGGTCAAGGACTTCCAGCTGTTATTTGGGAAGAGGTGAGAAGATAATGTGTGCATTTCCCACCCCCACCAGCATGGTATCCAGGGCATTCAGAAACATGCACTGAATTGCTCCTTTGTTCTGGAAAGCATGTCCGGTGTCAGGGGTGTATTATACATATGCATTCTACCTCGGCGCCCTTTACAATTAAATAAGGTGATACTTTTGAATTATTGTTCTCAGGCCCACAGCCCCCACCTCTCAGAGGACAACCCGCCTGCTACCTGGGCATGCTTCCCTTGTATAGGTTCTGAATTGCTCCTTTGTTCTGGAAAGCATGTCCGGTGTCAGGGGTGTATTATACATATGCATTCTACCTCGGCGCCCTTTACAGTTAAATAAGGTGATACTTTTGAATTATTGTTCTCAGGCCCACAGCCCCCACCTCTCAGAGGACAACCCGCCTGCTACCTGGGCATGCTTCCCTTGTATAGGTTCTGAATTGCTCCTTTGTTCTGGAAAGCATGTCCGGTGTCAGGGGTGTATTATACATATGCATTCTACCTCGGCGCCCTTTACAGTTAAATAAGGTGATACTTTTGAATTATTGTTCTCAGGCCCACAGCCCCCACCTCTCAGAGGACAACCCGCCTGCTACCTGGGCATGCTTCCCTTGTATAGGTTCTGAATTGCTCCTTTGTTCTGGAAAGCATGTCCGGTGTCAGGGGTGTATTATACATATGCATTCTACCTCGGCGCCCTTTACAATTAAATAAGGTGATACTTTTGAATTATTGTTCTCAGGCCCACAGCCCCCACCTCTCAGAGGACAACCCGCCTGCTACCTGGGCATGCTTCCCTTGTATAGGTTCTCTTGGCTATACCAATCAAGCTCTACTTCTCCTTCCAATTAATTTAATAGATATTGAGTAGCTACATGTTGTCAGGTTCTGTTTGAGACTTTTATATAGGTCAATGACTGAAACATAAAAAAGGTTACTACCCTGATAGAGCTTATAGTGTAGTGTGGTGAGATAAACAACAGTAATAAAATGTAAATTTTATAGCATTTTAGAGGAAGATAAGAGTGTTAGTTGCTCAGTCTTTTCCGGCTCTTTGCGACCCCATGGACTCTAGCCCACCAGGCTCCTCTGTCCATGGAATTCTCTAGGCAAGAATACTGGAGTAACTGTTCATTTCTCCAGGGGATCTTGCTGACCCAGGGAATGAATCTGGGTCCCCTGCGTTGCTGGCAGATTCTTTACCATCTGAGCCACCATATGGGTAATGGAAAAAGGAAAGGAGAGCAGGCAGAGAACAGGAAACGAGTGCTGGGGAAGGAGTAAAGGGTGCAATTTTAAATAGGGTGGTCAGAGTGAGTTTCATTCAGAAGGTGACATTTGAGCAAAGACTTGAAGGAAGCACGGAAGTTACCAGGGGCAATGCAGATACCTGGGGCATTGGTCCTCAACTTTGGCATCCAACAGCATCACCTGGGAAGCTGGTTAAAACCACAGATTGCTGGGCCCCACCTAGAGTTCTTGATTCAGTAAATCTTCAGTGAAGCCTGAGAGTTTCCATTTCTACAAAGGGTGCAGGTGATGGTGATGCTGCCAGTTTGGAAACTATGCTTTGAGAATCGCCCATCCAGGAGGAAAACAGTACAGAGAGAAGAATTAGGTAAAAAAAAAAAAACAAAAAAAAACCTTCAAGACAAGAACATGCCTGGTTGTTTTGGAGAATCATGGGGAGGCAAGGATGGCTGGAAAAGAGAGCAGGGGAAGAGTAGTAGAAAAAAAGGTCAGATCACATAAGATCTGTGATTTTCTTTCTCCAAATAAAATGGGATCTATTGTAGAGTTTGGAGCAAGAGAGGTGACATGATATAACTGAGTAATAATAAGGAATACTCTAGGCTCCCTAATTGCTATGTTGAGACTAGGCAGCCACAGGTTGACACAGGAAGAGGATACTTCAGTAAGTCAGCTGAGAGATGATGGCTCCAGTGAAGATGGTGGTAATGGATATGGTGAGAAACAGGGGAAGACAGATCCTGCACAATTTACTGAAAGATTGGATGTCTAACATTCAAGAAAGAAAGGCTCCAAAATGATTCCAAGGTTGTTAGCCCAAGCCACTAGAAGAATACAGTTTTCATCAATAGGGCAAGGGAAACAACTCTCGGGTGGAAAATGTTGAAGTTCAGTTGTGGACCTGCCGAGCTGGAGAGATTTGTTTTACTTTTAAGTGTATAGAGCAATTCAGCATTTAAATATACTCATCTGGAGTTGGAGAATGCTATGGAACTGGAAATACAATGCCTCTTTGGCTTATGAATGAGGTTTAAAGTCATATGAGATTATTGAGATCATGACAAGAAGAGAGAAGAGCCAAGGTCTGTCCTCTGGGCACTACACCATGAAGAAATTGAAAGAGAAGGCTTACAATGGAGATGAGAAGGACCAGTCAGTAAGAAAGGAAATCAAAAGCTCCGGCATCCTGGAGGTGAAGTAAATAAAGCAGGGTAAAGAGGAGGGCATGATGATGTTTTCAGTGCTTCTGCTTAGTCAAATAAGATGAAGACTAAGAACTCACCATTGGGATTGGCAGTGTAGAAGCTATTGGTGATCACAACAACAGCCTTTCAGAGGAATAGTAGGGGGAAAGGAGGAGAAGAATTGGAGACAGAGAGTAGTTTAATCTTTCACAGATTCTTGCTCCAAAGGGGGCTGAAGAAAAGGGGTTGGGAGTCAGTAGCTGACAGGAGAAGTAAAGCGACTTTTTTTTTTTTTTAAGATAAGAGGAGTAGCATGTTTTTATGCTGATGGGTATGTTCTAATAGAGTGAAACATTTAGGAAATAGATGAGAAGAAAGAATAGTTGGAGCAAAGTTCTCAAGGCAAAAGCAGTGGGATTTAATTGTACAAAGGAAGGATTGATTCTAGGTAGGCACATGCATAGTTTGTTTATGTGC